AATGGAGGAGAAGGGATTGCGGCGTGGCCATCCCCCCTGGGGGGTGATTTCTTGCTTTCTGTCTCTGTCTGTCTGGTGAGTGCACATGCCTTATAGCAAAAACCTCTCCAAAAAAAGAAAGAAATTCATTTTATTAGGAATGATAGGTTGGGGAATTTATTAATATTATTTTAAAAATTCTTTTAAAGTTTTTTCATAGGGTGTGTGTGCTCACCAGAGAGAGATGGAGAGAGACAGAAAGTGGGAAAGTGAGAAATCACTCCCTAAGGGGGTAGCCACAGTGCAATCTCTTCTCCTCCATCCTCTTCCTGGGATTTTGGCAGGCATGCACATGTGCCCGGTGTGATTTTTAAACTGCTGTGTCTAGTACTCGAACTGTGATTGGCCATGTGGGAGTCCAGCACCTTAACCACCATGCCACCTGCTGGGTCCACCAATATATTTTAAATGATACTTTTTTTCCCAGTTGCCAGAGGGTACATGTGGAGAGAGACAGAAAGAGAAGAGAGAGGCAAAGCATCCTCCAGTGCAGTGTGGCTAGACTGCAGTCCCTTGTCTTCATGTCTCCGTTCTGTTGAGATTCCGGGTATGCACACACACCAGGTGTGTTTCTCAAGATGCCAGGATTGGGATATGAACTGTGTTTGGCCACGTGGGACTGGCTTCATTTACCATTCTGCTCCTGGGCTGGCCAATTAAAATACTGGGCCATCGGGAAAGTCACGATGCGTTTTTTTGTATAGAAAAACACAGAAAAACATCATGACTTTCCTGACAACCTAATGTAATGATAGGAGACGTAGTCCTGCTAACAGGTCATCCTTTCCATATGCCTAATCCTCCATTCTCCTTAAAAACTTCTTGTGGGGACCAGCAGATGGTGTAACGGTTATGTCACTGGACTCCCATGTAGTCGACTGTGGTTCAAGTCCCAGACCCGGTGGCTTAAACCTCATTCCAGGCATGTGTGCATGTGTGCCTAAGATCCTGAGAGGAGAATGGAGAAGGGATTGTGGCATGGTGATCCC